TCCTTTTGGCATTTGAGTTCCTGTCCTGGTTTCAGGAGCGACCCCAGAAACCTGGCAAGTTTCTCATTTTGTCCACTTATTCAAAATAGACTTTCCGAATCTATAAATAAAAGGTCGCCGACTATCGACTATGGCAGTCCCTGTCGCCTGAATCACACCTCGGGTGGTGGGCGGAGCAGGGACTGCGCCCTGGCCCGGGGTGGGAGTGGGAGCTGGGACAGCGCCTTGACCTGCTCCCTCGGGACAGTGTGAAACTCACGAAGAACACGGGACAAGTCGGGGGCTTGCGGGGTCAGGCGGTAAGGCACCGTCGGCTCTTGCAATCTGGGACAGTGGGACGGCCCCAAGGGGTGCCCTGTGCCCTCCTCTGCTCAGGTGGCTGTCACTGGGGTGAGGGGGTGCTGGCCCCTCGGGATGCACTAACTGCCGCTTTGCCCACTGCTTTCTGGTTGCTTTGTGCTCCATTCTTTCTTCTTCTGCCCTCTTTTCTTCTGGTTTGGTGACTTTTTTAGTGTTATGCTTAGATTTCACTCTCATCACCTTTTACGCACCTACTGTAGGTTTTGTTTCGAGGTTACCGTGAGGCTCACATTTATCAGCCCGCGTGTACACGGGTCGACTTAAGTAGATAGCAAGTTAAGTTTGAACACATTCTAAAGTCACATTTTTACTCCCCCACCATGTTTTACATTTTTGGTGTTTCTTTTTTTAATTTGTGAGTGTGTGTATTTCCTAACGTTGTGCCCACGGGAGGAGGTGAATTTAGGGTCCCTCTGTGTCACCATCTTTTTTTTTTTTTTTAAATATCTTTATTGATTTCAGAGAGAGGAAAGGAGAGGGAGACAGAAACATCAATGATGAGTCATTGATCGGCTGCCTCCTGCACGCCCCCAACTGGGGATCGCCCCGGGCATGTGCCCTGACCGGAAATCGAACCCGGATCGCTTGGATCCTAGGTCAACGCTCAACCTCTGAGCCACGCCCGGCCGGGCTGTGTCACCATCTTGAGTCACTCTTCTCAGTCATTTTTAAAAGGGAAATTTAAATCAGAACTACTAGGACCTACAACGTTGCATTCACTAGAATGATGGTAATTCTTAAAATAGAAAAAAGGGGTTGGTAAAGGTGTGGAGAAATTGCAAACATCATGCTTTACTAGTGTGAATGTAAAATGATACAACCTCTGTGGACAACTGTGTTTTCCTTCAGAAGTTAAATATAAAATTAGCATGTGAACAAGCAGCTCTGCTCCTGGGTATAGAACTTAAGAAACTGAAACAGTTGTTCAAAAATCACTTGTACGCAAATATTCATTGTAGCATTAGTCACAAGAGTCAAAATGTGGAAACATCACAAACATCCATCAGTTAAGAAATGGTTAAACTGAATGTGGTATATCCATATAATGCAATATTTTTTCTCATAAGAAATGAAGTACTGATCCATGCTACGACATGGATGAATCTCGGGAACACTGTGATCAGCGAAAGAAGCGAGACACAGGAGATATATTGTACCTTTCTATCTGGAAAATCCAAAATAGGCAGATACATGGAGACCGAAAGCAGGTTAGTGGTTCCTAGGGACTGAAAAGCGGGTGGCTCAATGAGTGCGGGGTTTTCTTTCAGCACGATGAAAATATTCTGGTGACGGTCACACAACATCTTGAATGTGCTGAATGCCACTAAATGTACAGCGGGTAAATGGTAAGCTTTACGGTACGTGTGTTTTAGCGCACATATGAAAATGGAGAGTGAAATGGTTCCAATGCCGCGCCCGTGGCCGGAGAGCAGCAGGAACTGTCCACGCCGCTGGTGCTGACCACCTTGGTCGGCTTGGTGATTTGTTGCTGGAATGTTACTTTCCCTGAGTACCTTCACTTTACAGTGTGGTTCTGATCCCCACCTGCTAGTGCTAGTGGAGGCTGGTCTGGTTCAACTCGATCTAAATCCCTTTCCCAGAGGGCCTTGCAGCTGGAATGACTTTGTTCGTGCATTGGTTCGTGTCCCTGGGCAGCGCACCAAAGCAGGCACCAGATGTTTTCCCAGCCCCAGCCGCGAGTCTAGGCGATAGCTCTGAGATGCCAAAGGCTGCCGCGGCTGCAGGGTGTTATCCAAATCTCTGAGTCACATCAATAGTGCCATTCCGGGGGCCACAGCCTAGAGCCTGCTCCTCCGGCCCCTCTTATGACAAGTAGGCTCTCAATTCACTGTTTTACTGGGAGGATCCAACTAGGGCTGGGGTGGGGCCAGACCGTCCATTCTTCCATCCATTTTTTGGTCACCAGAAGTCCCTTCACAGGGAGAGGGGACAGTTACTAAAATCTTGATAACGCAGTTGGAGCAAAGAAGTGACACAGCTCCCTCATCAATCAGAAGAGGAGGAGCTTCTGTCCCTGGGGAGCCCCAGCCCCTCCTCCTGCATACCTGACATTCTTTCAATACCCGAAACCACCACATTCCTGCCTGTGCCCTGGGAAGGGAGCTCCCCGAGGCCAGATGGAAATAACACCCAGATGCGGGCTGAAGGGATATTCAATTAATTCCTGGGGATAAAGGGATGCCAAGAGAGAAGCAAGTGAAAGTAGGAAATCCCAGTGTCCTCCTGGGCTTCATACCCAAGAACCCAGCTCTGTCAGCCTCGACCAGGCGCCCTGGAGCATCCAGCTGGGTCTGGTCCAAGGGCGTCTGTGAATGGAGCCTACCTGTCCTTCCCAGGGGGGCTGGGCCAGGGGCGCATGGAGGCTCCTGGACTGGGGTTCAGGAGTCCTGGGTTCTGTCCCAGCCTGTGTCACTGACCGGTAGGACTGGGGAGCAGGATGAAAAAATAAAACAGATGGCTGTTTGAGGTCAGAATCTTACCCTTAACTACCCAGAGAGCCAGAAGCTTTTCTAGACATTGATAGAGGCAGAATCTCAACATCTAATGACTGCTTCAACCAAGACAGGCCCAACCCTGCCTCACAGAGGTGGACTCTCATGCAGAAGACAGAACTGTCCCCAGACTGTGTGGTCCCATGGTGGACACAAGAGGAAGGGGTCTCTGAGGGAGCTGGAGGTGGAAGTGGACAGGACTGTGTGAGAAGGCGTCTCTGATGCCTTGAGAAGGGGCCTAGGAGGGTACAAACCCAAGACTCTCACCCCAAAGCCTCAATGCTTTTGAGCTCATGGCCGTCAGTGCCCAGAGACCTCAGAAGCAGCTGTCTTCTCAACACAGCCTTCCAGATCCCTGCCCTGTCCTGATCTCCCTCCACTTTCCTGCCAGTTAGTGACTCAGCTGTGTGCTTGTATGCACACAAAACCCCAACGTTCCCTGGGAAACATTTTCTCCCCGACCCTGCTGGCACCTCAGATTTTGGCAGAGGAAATCGGCCCGGGTCCCAGCCTGCCTGGAGCCATCCCAGATGTTCACATCTGTACCTTGGTTTCTGTCTGAAATACATGTACTTATTGGAGGAGCCTCCTCCTGGACCTGGACTCCACATGGCGGAGAGTCTGGGAAAGTGAGTTTTGGAGGTTCCCTTGAACAAGCAGAGACCTGGGAGGCAGGAACTTTTCAAATGACAGGTGTAGAGTGTCTCATGTGCCTGCAAGAGTGACAGGTCGCCCTAGCCTGTTTGGCTCAGTGGTTAGAGTGTGGGCCTGCAGACTGAAGGGTCCCGGGTTCAATTCCAGCCAAGGCCACATATCTCAGTTGCAGGCTCCATTCCTGGCTCAGGTTGGGGCTCATGTGGGAGGCAACCGATCAATGTGTCTCTCTCACATCTCTCTCTCTCCCCCTTCCACTCTCTCTGAAAAGCAATGGAAAAATAACCTCGGGTGAGGATTTAAAAAAAAATAAAATAGTGACAGGTCACCCTTTCTGGGCCCCAAAGAGAACATTGTCCATACTGAAATGTGGCTGGGTGTCCCTAGGAGAGGAATTCCTGCAGGAGCTGGGGGAGGGGCTTCCAGTCCTCACCTCGTGGGATGACCTGAACTCACAAAACTGACTTCACTTCCTGACCCCAACGTGGTTCTCTCTTTTCAGGGCAAATCCCACACCCACCTCCCTCTGAACATGCCTGCTAAGGACCAAAGCCTTGGAGAATCTGCTGAAGGTGGTGGAATTTCTCTCACAGAACTTTATAGACAAGTAATACTCATAATGATTTGACCACAACAACCAGACCAAGACTCTTCTCACTTGCTCCCTCTCCCAGGCCCCCCTCCCTTCCGCCATCCCTCTCATCAATTCCATGAAATTGTGACTTTTTAATGGCCCACTCGCCCCTCTCTTACCTGTGTCTGAAACAAAGCCTGGGCCATATAAGTTGCTAAGTGGACAGGTGCTCCTCAATAAATGACACTAATGAAGTGACAGAGAAGGAGCCGGGTAAGAGCACCCTGGGTGAGTGGGTCCCAGGGGTCCCCCAGGCCCTTTCCCAGGGTTCTGTTTCATGAGCTACCCCAGCACCCCCCCCCCACATAAATATCTCCTCCTTCCCCCAACCTTGTTCAACCTGGAATTGCCAAGTGTAAAAACTCATCTCTTTCACCTGAATACCCTGAGCTGTGGTTTAATGAGCAGGTCCTGGCCTAGGCTGTGAAGCCAGGGAGCTGGCAGCTCCTCCCAAAGGATGTAAGAGGTTAGCAACGTGCAAAAGAAAGTGGGGAAAGCAGGCGGCTCAGGATGGGATGGAAACCTGTCTGATGGACTCATCTGGGAGACAGGATGGCTCCGAGACAAGTCCTGTGCCACCCTGCTTGTTGACGAGGCCGTGGGGCTGGGTGAGTGGGAGGCATCTGGGGAGGGTATGGGGGGGGCATCCGTCCTCTCCTGGCTCTCAGAGGGTTCCACCGTGCCAGAGATGCCGTGTGGATCCTTCTGACCCAAGGGCCCAGCGTGTCTCTGCAGGCCTGGCCAGAAGGCAGGAGGCTCGATGACATCACCCACCTGTCAGAGATAAAAGCACTGCTGGGAACGGCAGACCATCCTAGGATCCTGCAGCCGACCGAGCCATGGGTCCCCGATGCTACATCCCGGGTAAGGAGAACCCAACCCCAACTCCCTCGGAGCCCAGCTCCAACGCCAGCCACCCCCCATCCCTACCTCAGCCTGATCCTCGGCCTCAGCGCCGNGAACCCAACCCCAACTCCCTCGGAGCCCAGCTCCAACGCCAGCCACCCCCCATCCCTACCTCAGCCTGATCCTCGGCCTCAGCCGATCCCCATCCCCACTCTCGTCTCCATCACTTCTCTGATTCGGTTCTGAAACCCTGCCCAGCGCCACGCGTATCCCACTTTCCCACAAACAGTCCTCCAGACCTTACCGTGGCTCATCTCCATAGCAACCCTGGTCAGCCCCCTGGGAGCCGGGCTGCCCCTGAGCCTCCTGCCCAGGAGACACCCACATTCCCCAGAACCCTAAACCCATTTCTCCCAAGACCCTGCCAGCACCCCTCACCTTCCACAGGTCCATAATCCCAAGACACCTCAACACAGGTGACTAGATCCCACCCTGGACAGCTCCTAACCTTTCCCTGAAACTCAGTCAGGACAGACACCCCCCCTCAGCCTTTGCCCCGCCCCAGGCTGGGCTCCCCGAGGTGGACCCAAGGCTGTCCCTTCAGCCGCCCCTCCCCATCTCCTCCCCCACAGCTGTCTCCGCCGCTCTCTGCATCGCCAGCCTGCTCTGTTCACACGGAGCCCCAGGTGAGCCCAGGAGGGACAGGGACACTTGGGGGTGGGGGGTGGCTCCCGGAGGGCCCCAGGCTGGGCCCCGCCTGCACTTTGGTCTGGGCTACACCAGCTCTGCCTCCTCCAGTGTCCCCCACAGGTGCAGGCACTCACCTGATGCTGTGCCAGTCACACACAACATGTGGGGACAAGTTCTACGACCCGCAGCAGCACTGTTGCTATGACGACGCTGTGGTGCCCTTGAGCAGGACCCGAAAGTGTGGAAACTGCACCTTCAGGGTCTGCTTCGAGCAGTGCTGTCCCTGGTCATTCAGACCCCAGGAGGCCTTCGTGGTGAAGGTGAAAGGCCAGGAGTGTTCCTTGGCCCCATCCTTGGGTGACAGCATTTGTTCCAGGTAAGGTCCTGTCCCCTTAACAAGAATAGGGTGTGCAGGGAGGCCGGGGAGGGTCTGGATACCCGGTCCGTCCGTGACACAACCTCCCTGCCCTGTCCTGGTTGTCCCCCCGTCCCTGTCCCCCTGCTCTATCCAAACTCCCTCCCCCTTTGTCTCTCCTTTTGTTTTTATTCCTCTCACCCTCTTTGCTGCCTTCTGCGCCGCTCTTTTCCACTCCTCTGTCCATAATGTCTGTCCCTCCATTTCTGGCCTTCTCTCCGCAGTGTCATCTGACGGAGGGCCGGGGGCCCAGATGGCGGTGGGCTCTGCTTCGTCTGTGGGCGCGGAGCAGGGCGCTCCCGTCGGCTGGGCTCCGGGGCGGGACTCGCTGACTCAACCCGCCGGTCCCAGCCTCCTCCCCCGACGCCCTGAGTCGGTCCTGAGTCAGCCACCGGGCCCTTTCTGATTCTGGGCAATCGTGAGAGATTGTGTTGCCGATGGGGGGAGGTTGTGTTGCCGATGGGGGGAGATTGTGTTGCCGATGGGGGGAGATTGTGGTGCCGATGGGGGAGATTGTGTTGCCGATGGGGGGAGATTGTGTTGCCGATGGGGGGAAATTGTGGTGCCGATGGGGGAGATTGTTTGCTGATGGAGAGCCGGAGGGCCCGGCCGGAGCAGTGTCCTGAATTCCACTCCCTTCGCCGCAGCCCCCTGCCCCCGCCGGTGCAAGCACAGGGCGCTTAATAAACTTTGAAACCTTACACAGTCTGTCGTGGCTCCTGCACCGTTGGGAAGGGTCATGAATGGTGGACATGGGGTCCTTTCTCTGGCTTCCAGGGGTTGCAAGATAGGTCCACTTATCCCACAAATGCCAAGGGGTTCCCATGATGTGCTGCTTTCACTGAGTAACAATTCCGTCCCTGAACCAGGCTCTTGTTTCCACCTCACCGGACGTGAGACAGGGAGGGGGGCACCCACGGGGCGGGAGGGAGGGG